TGACTGGTAATTCCCCAAATTGGCTCCACAACTAAATTCAATTCACCTCAATATACATTTACCAGGTTTACAGTGTCTGTTAAAAAATATGTGTAACAAATGCAAAGATAGTATCTTGTGGAGACAGAAATATGTATTAGTTATTCTGTTGTAAGGCAGACTTACCAATGCAATTTGGGATAATTGAAGGATAAGCCATTAAGTTTTAAAATCAAAGCACAGTTACATTCTGCTAATTGCACAGATATTGTTTAGAATTTAAGGAGTTTTGATAAATGGGGGCGCATGGGTGGGTCAGTCGGTTAAGTGTCTGCCTTCAGCTCAGGTGGTAATCCCAGGGTCCTGGGATCGAGCCCCATAGCAGGCTCCCTGCTGAGCAGGGAGCCTGCTTCTCCCTCTCCCTCTGCCTGCCCCTCCCCCTGCTTGCTTGTTCTCTCTCTCTAATAAACAAATCTTAAAAAAAAAAAGACTTGACAAATGTATAAACTTGCCAATCAAGATACAAAAAATATCCAGAAAGTTGCCTTGTGTACCTTTCTAGTCACTCTTTCAAAGCTCAGATGAAACTGCTAATTTGATTTCTCTTCCCCTAGATTAGTTAGACAATCATATTGCTGGAATTGTATAGTACCTGTTTTTTGTGTCTGTCTTCTTTCATTCAACAGGCTTTGAGATTCACTCACGTTGTAGTATCAAGTGTATATTAGTATGAATACTAGTCTGTTGCAAGAATCAATCACAATTTATTCATCCATTCTTCTGTTGATGAACATTTGGGTTGTTTTAGACTTTTTGGTATTTTGAATAAACTAGCCATTAATTTTGAATGAACAAGTTTTCTTTTTTCCCTAATAGGATGTGAAATATGAACCATCTTAAGAAATCTCTTATTCATAAACAAAGTTAGACTGAGTGTAGATAATTTAGTACTTGTTTGAAGGCATCTTCATGGTAGTAGCAATAAATTAATTACAGATTTTTTTTAAGGCTACTCTATCTTTATATTCTAGTCTGATGTATATAACTCATTCACTTAACTACATCAACTGGGATTAGACTCTTGTAACCCACAACTTCTCTGGGTCCAGAAAGGCAAAAAGAGATGGTGTTATTATGGGTGTGTGTTTATTTTCTTTTCATGAACAGACTTAGTGAAGATATGATCTTAATCTTTTATTTATTTGTTTGTTTGACAGAGAGAGACACAGCAAGAGAGGGAGAACAAGCAGGTGGAGGGGCAGAGGGAGAAGCAGGCTTCCAGCTGAGCAGGGAGCCTGATTCAGGGCTTGATCCCAGGACTCTGGGATCACGACCTGTGCCAAAAGCAGATGCTTAACGACTGAGCCACCCAGGCGCCCTGAAGGTATGATCTAAATCTTGTAGTAAAACATTTTTTTTTTTTTAAAGATTTTATTTATGTGTGAGAGAGAGAATGAGAGACAGAGAACATTTCTTATCTTTTGGGTGGATATAACTTTCTGATACCCAAGGACTTTGTTCTCATGCCAATCTGGATTAGAAAAGGGAGAAACTCTAACCTTATTTATGTCTCTCTTTGAATAACAGTGTGAGGATTGAGAAAAGTATAGTATAAGGCTTTCTTTTAGTGTTATTTTACAACCCTTGGAAGAGTAGGAGGTGAGGAACTGGAATAGCTGAAAGTGAAGACCTAGAAAGGAAGGGCACCTGGGTGATTCAGTTGGTTAAGGGACTGCCTTCGGTTCAGGTCATGATCCCCAGGTCTTGGGATAGAGTCCTGCATCGGGCGCCCTCTGCTGTGCAGGGAGCCTGCTTCTCCCTCTCCCTCTGCTGCTCCCCTGCTTGTACTCTCTCTCTCTCTCTCAGTCAAATAAATAAATAAAATCTTAACCACCACCCCCCAAAAAAAAACCCTAGAAGGGAAGGGCTGGAGGTAAGGGTTACAAAATGATATAATTAAAACTTCATTAGGTTGGAAGTTTTCTATCAAAGTTCCTTCACAAGTTCCTTTCTCTGCTTCACAAAGATGTAATTTTATTTAATGTTGTGTATCTGCCCTTTATTTAAGGTCAATTAAATAACGATCTTAAGTTTTTTTGTATCTTTCTGTAAAACTGTTGTTAAGAATGTGTTCTAGGTCAGATTTTTCTTAAACTGGGGTCTTCAGGTCCCCAGGTGTAGAGCTACATACTTGGCAGTTTGAGAGTTCTATGATGTTTTAATTTAGACTTGTGTTTAAGCAGTGTTGCTTAAAACAGTATTTTACTACACATTAAATGAAAACTTCTCTTTTGTTATGATAACTCACAACCATAGACATTTTCCCAGTTTTTTGTTGTGGGAAAATATATATAAAATAAAATTTACCCTTTTTCTTCAGATATTTTATTTATTTGTGTGAGAGAGAGAGACAGAGAGAGCACAAACAGGGGGAGCGGCAGGTAGAGGAAGAAGTAGGCTCCCCACTGAGCAAGGAGCCAGATGCAGAACTCGATTCCAAGACCCCACGATCACAAACTGAGCTGAAGGCAGACGCTTAACCGACTGAAGCCACCCAGGCATCCCTAAAATTTACTCTTTTAACCATTTTTAAGTGTATAGTTCAGTGCCATGAAGTACATTCACATTGTTATGCTGACTTTAATTTCTCATAGTAGTATTTCTTTAAAGTGGAATTTTCAAGAGTATTTAAGAAATTAAAAAAAAAACACATTTTTTTCCTTTAAAAAGAGTTTGTGGGGTGCCTGAGTGGCTCAGTCAGTTAAGTGCCTGCCTTTGGCTCAGGTCATGATCTCTGGGTCCTGGGATTGAGCCCCTTGTCTGGCTCCCTGCTTAGCAGGGAATCTGCTTCTCCCTCTCCTTCTGCCACTCCCCCTGCTTGTGCTGTCTCTCTGTCAGATAAATAAAATCTTTAAAAAAAAATAAAGAGTTTGTACATTACTCAAGATTAGGATTCAGTATTCTAGGTTATAAATTCCACTTATAATATAGATCTTTGTCTCTCTCTTTTTTTTTTCATTTCTATTTTTGAGAGAGAGAGAGAGAGAGAGGGCACGCCTGTGTGGGAAGGGGCAGAGGGAGAAGGAGCAAGAGAATCTTAAGCAGGCTCCAGGCTCAGTGCAGAGCCCAAAGTGGGGCTCAATTCCAACGACCCTGAAATCAAGAGTTGGAGGCTTAACTGACTGAGCCACCCAGGCACCCCTAGTTGTTTTTCTCTCTTGATAAAAATGAATATTTTTTTCTTTAGCTAGTGAGAATGATATAGACCATTATGTTTTTTTCTAGAAATACAGAACAAAATTCAATAATTGTAAGCATTTTCTCTGATCCCAATATAATTATTTGCCTATACTGTATATTTTACCTTCCTTTAACCATGCATTCTTTTCTTTCTTTTCTTTTTCTTTTAAGATTTTATTCATTTATTTGACAGAGAGACACAGCGAGAGAAGGAACACAAGCAGGGGAGTGGGAGAGGGAGAAGCAGGCTCCTTGCCGAGCAGGGAGCCCAGTGCAATGCAGGGCTCGATCCCAGGGCCCCGGGATCATGACCCGACCCGAAGGCAAATGCTTAACAATTGAGCCACCCAGTGCCCCATAACTATAAATTTTCTGATTTTACATGGTTTATATTATACCTTGTTTCAAATTCTTTTTAAGTAGCTGCTCTGTAAGTTTTAACGTTGTTTAAAAGATTTTATTTATTTATTTGACAGAGAGACAGAGGGGGAGAGAGAGAGAGAGCACAGAAGGGGGAGGAGCAGAGGGAAGCGGACTCCCCCTAAGCAGAGAGCCAGACAAGGGGGCTCGATTCCAGGACCCCGAGATCATGACCGGAGCAGAAGGCAGGCACTTAACCAACTGAAACACCAAGGTGCCCCTTAAAATTTTTTTACTTTTTTTTTTTTTTGAAGTAGGTTTCAAGCCCAGCATGGAGCCCAATGCCAGGCTTGAACTCAGGACCCTGAGATCAAGACTTGAGCTGATTATCAAGAGTCGGATGCTTAATTGACTGAACCACCCAGGCACCCCGGTACTATGTAAGTTTAAAATGCATGCTGAAAATTCTAGCTCAAAGTAGTAGACTATATAAATTATAGGTGAATTCAATCAAATATTAGAAATTCCTTTATTCAGTAATAGCAACTAACGTTTTAAAAATAGTTACAATGAATGCGCCTGGACATTGTGCTAATCAATTTACCGTGAATAGCTAGTAAAACCCTATGATGTAAGTACTGTTATCACCCCCACTTCACAGAGGTTCAAAGAAATGAAGACTCTTCTGCAATGACCTGAAGCACTTTTATTAGGACCCAAGTATGGCTGACTTCCAAAGCTCAGGCTTCTAACCATAATGCACCTTGCATCCCAAGTTGCACTTTCTACTTTGCATGATTGATGGTTTCTTTGTGGGAGAATGCTCACTGCTGCCCCCAACGAAGACGAACCCTGCTTTCTAACACTTGTTTTGCACCCAGTCGCTTATCCTGTTCCTCCTCTTGGTGGGGTCCTGGCCCACCCTCGGACCCTGGTCCCCCTATAAAGTCTCGTCCCATCAGATCCTCGTGCCTCAAGAGTCCCTTCCCCTCACAGCCTGGCAACCACAGCAGGGCCCTGTCCCCTCATACCTTGGTCTGCCTGAAGAGCTGGTCCTTTCAGACCGTGACCTCCTACCAGGTCCCCAACTCCTCAGACAGATGATACTAGCAGAGCCGTTCCCTCGGGCTCTCGCCCCCCAAAGCCCTCAGACCCTGTTTTCCAGCACAGCTGAGATGCTTGTACCCCAGGAGACAGCAGTAGCCCTCAGTAAAGCTTCGCAAGCAATTCTCCTTACAGAGGTCCCATTCCAACCCCAAATTAAGGGCATCTCTCTACCTTTCCCCTTTCCAAACTTCTCCCAGAATCGTGTTTTTTTTTTTCATATTCTCACCTTTTTCTGCTTCTCATTCACGCTCGCCAACTTCCCCCACCATCTGGTAGCCCGGTTTCAGTTCCTGGAGCCCCCCCCCAAAACTCACCCAACGTCCGTCCTCTCTTCAGGAGAGCAGCATTCCCAAACGGCTCCGCGCTTTACCTCTCACCTCGGTTCGTTATGGCCCTCTCTGCTGGGCGCTCCCCCCAACTCGCCCCGCCCTGAAAGCGCCTTTCAGCCAGTCGTCGCCCGAAGTCCCGCCCCCTCCAAGCCTATTGGCCACCTCTCCTAAAAAGTCCCGCCTCCTCAGCCTCCAGTCCTCCTCCCTGCCCCGCTTCCCTTGTTTTCATTCCCCCTGTCACACGAGGCAGTGGCAAACCCAAGGTGGGAGGGGCGAAATAGAGTGAGGGAAGGGGGGCGGAAAGAGGGCGGAAAGTGAAAGGCATAGAGCGCCTCTCTTTCCCCCGTCTGACTCGGTTCTCGACTGCTCCGAGCAGCCGTTGTATTGTGGGATCGCGGCGCCGTGCCTGAGACGCTAGGATTCACAGGGGAGCCCACTCACTAGCGCCTCCTGTTGTCCGCAAGGCTGCCCTGCCATTCCTCGGCCCCCAACTCCCTCCACTCCCCCCCCATCGCCTCCTCCTCCATCCTCCAGTTCAAAATGGCGGCGGCGGCAGCAGCGGCGGCCGCGATGGCTCCTCCGGGCTGCCCGGGTTCGTGCCCCAACTTCGCCGTAGTCTGCTCCTTCTTGGAGCGCTACGGGCCGCTGCTCGACCTGCCTGAGTTGCCGTTTCCCGAGCTGGAGCGGGTGCTGCAGGCGCCGCCGCCGGACGTCGGCAGTGGAGAAGGTAAGCGAGGGGCCCGAACGCCCGGCGGGAAGCGGCCCTGGCACGCTCCTTCTCTCCGCTCTTCACGGACACCCCGGGCCTCTGCGGCTCTGTCCTTCCCCCGGGGCGCAGCTCCGCCCGGCTCGGCTTCTCCGCCCAGCCCCCAGGGTCTTGGGCAGTGGGGAGGCGGGGCAGAGACCCCCTAGGGCCACTGGGCCTGGCGCCGAGAGGAGGTGGGGGCGTCGCGGGCTAGGTGTGGGCTGGGGGCGTGGAGTGGTCATTGTGTTGGTCTGCGGCCCCTGGGACTGTTCCCCCGGCGGCAGGGGCCGGTCCTCCACCCCTTCTCCCCCTGGGTGGCGGGGGAAGGGGAGCGCAGGTTCCGGCCAGCTTTGCGCTTTTCTCCTCCTCCCCTCCCTTGCTCCCTCCCTTCCTCCCACCATCCTCCCCACCATCTCGGGGGAGGCTGGGCTCATCTTCTCGGGGCGCCCCTTTCTCTCCCTCCACCTGGGTGGGCGGGGGCCAGCGGACACTTCAGCTCTCCCTCCCTCTAGTGGGAACTCCCCCGAGAGAGTCGCTCGCGTCTCTCTTCCCTTCCCCTCGAGGGCTGGTTTAACCCCCAAAACTCCTTCCTCAGAGTAGGGAGGTTTGCTCCTCCCCCATGGGAGGGGGTCCTCCTCCATTCTCGCTTTGGGGGTCGAAGTCGGTTCACCTCCTCCACTTTGGAGGGTAGAGGGTTAATTTTTCCTCCCCCATAGTTTTCCTCCTCCCTCTCCCCACCTCCCCCCAAATAATAGAAAAGCATCTCCCCACTTTTCTAATCCCTTCCCCCTTCATCTTGGCAGCCGGGCTTAGGGGAAGAAGTCGCCCTCCCATTTGCAGGGTGGGGTGGGGTGGGGTGGTTAGTATGTAGGCTGGAGGAGGGGCTCAGACGAAGGGGGAAACAGTTGAAGAAGGTGCTTGTTGCTCATGTTTCTCTCTCTGGTGCTGCTGGTCTATTATTGGTGTTCGCAAGTGGTGCTCCTTCCACATAAGGCCACCGCGCGGGTGCAGGGCGCATGCTCTGCCCGGCCCCATTGAAACTTCCTGCTGCTGCTGCTGCTGCTGCTGCTGGTTCTTTCGCTGGAGCATCTCAGCGCTGTGCCTGCTGCCTTCAGCCCTTACACTGAACGCGTGCACTCACCCTTATTTATTCCCGATCCATGCCTCTCCTTTCCTGGCATATTTCTTCCCTCAGAGGAGGGTTTTTTTCCCCCCCCCTGTGTTCTGAGCATTGCCTTTATCTGTGAACAGTCCTTGGCTGGAGAAAAGACGTTTTCCAAATAGATTTTTTGGGGGGGGGGGGAGTCCGTATTAGGTTGCTAAAGTGGACTGGGTATTGTATAAGACAGATAGCTGTTACCTTTCTAAGAAAACAAGGTTGCTCTTCAATTCTCCATGGAAGTGAAGAAGTTTGTTAACAGAATGCGTTCACATTGCTAGGAAGGGTCCAGGTGTGAAGTTTTTCAAAATATTAGCTATAGGGAAAATGTTGTGGCTACCAAAGACTCAGATTAAAGTAGCAGTTATGGTACAGGCCTAGATCTCTTCTTATCAATAGCCCAAATCTCCACCCTTAACAAACTGTGGCATATAATCGGGTAGTTTTTTAAAAATTTTATTTATTAGAGCGCGAGAGCACACAAGGAGGAATGGTAGAGGGAGAGGGAGAAGCAGGCTCCCTGATGAGCAGGAAGCCTGACAAGGGACTGGATCCCAGGACCTGGAATCATGACCTGAGCCAAAGGCAGACCCTTAACCGACTGAGCCAACCAGTGCCCCAAAAGGGTAGTTTTTTAATGTAGTATAAAATAGGGGTGATAAGTTACATTATATAAAGACTTCCTGCAGAATTTCTTTAAAAGTTAAGCTTCCCAATATAGTTATTTTATTATCATTGCATTTACAGGGGAGTTTTCGAGAAGTAGTCACTATGAAGTAGAATGCCTTAGTAACTTGCTTTCAGGATACTTTTGGAAGTGTTAGTAGTATATGTATCTGAGAGAAATTTGGGGATTTGGGGAAAAGGATTGCTGGCAAATTGTTTTTGGAATTTGCTTGGACCAAGTTGAAAGGCAGGCATAGACCTGTGATGGTATTGTATTCTGGTTGGTGTACAAGTTTTCTTGCCTTCCATTCCTTTTAAGTATTTTGGCCACCGCATTTGGCTTGTTTTATAGAAGAAAAAATATTAGGGTCAGTTTATAGTTCATGTTACCTTTTCATCTAGAGTTGAACAGTTGGCCACCAGCTAAGTGAAAAATGAGATAAATTCTGGGCTGAGAGATTATACCAGTGGGCTCAGCCACTGTATTACCATTGGTATGGTTGCATCTGTAATAGTAGATCTTGTCATAATGTGACCTAAGAATAATCATTAATTAATGTTATACAGTTCAGGATACTTGGCAAATGAAGAGTCTGCAGGTAAAATGCCATTACTGTGTAGGGAAAAGATTATCAGTCCTTTGATGATGGTTAACGTACTTGTAACAGTTGGATTAAACATTACTGGACCAACTAACAAGATGTACTGAGTCTTTTTTGGAAAGGAGTTGTGTACTAGAAAGAATTAAAAGACACTGGTTTTAGCACGGAACAGTAATATATAAGTTGCAGGGCAAGTTACTTAATTTCTATAGACCTCGTCTCCTGAGTGAATAGAGATAATATCTGAGGATCAAATGAAATATTTCAAAAATCCTTTCATAAACCAAACACTTGCAGTGTTCTTGTATTACAAATTTTATTAAAGATGTTTGTGAGATATAAGATACACGAGTTCATTTGGAATTAAACTGTTAAATTTTTAGCATGTTGTGAGACTAGGGGTATGAGCAAAGGTATCATATTGAGCTATTATGCTCTTTGGGAAAACTCTTTGTTATAATCAGCTGAGTTTTGCTGTATGTAAACTTGTATGTTTAAAAGGCAGTTCTTAGTGTTGCTTAAAGAATCCTAGTTTATAAAACTTTTGGTTTTTCCTAGTGTGATTGTCCATTAAAAGGTGTTTTTGAAAGTATGTTCTTCTGAGTTACCAGTTTAAAACATTTTACCTAGTCAGTTTTTGTCATAGGTATGTCATTATGGCATCCTTTGGAGGAGACTGTAATTCTCTATATTGTCATTGTTTAAGCACTTTATGATCATTTCCCTAAAAATTTGCTTATAAGTTTTTATTTGACATTGTGGCTTTAGCTTAGACTGCTTATTTGGTTTAAGTGTGAATGATATAATAACTAGCATTTATTATGTACAAACATCATCTCATTCCTCGTAACTGTTCTTTGAGGTTGGTACTATTACTCTTATTTAGCAGGCATAGAAACTAAGGTTTAAGAAGTTGATTCAGCTGCCCAGTGCCCAAGATTATATAGTTATTAGTAGAGTCTGATTTTTTAAAAGATTATTTATTTTAGAGGGGAGAGTGGAGAGAGTGCGTGTGCTTGCTTGTGTGGGGGGTCGGGGAGGGAGAGAGAGAACCTCAAGCCAACTTCCTGGTGAGCTTAGAGACTAACTCAAGTCCCCATCCCAGGACCCTTAAATCATGACCTGAGCCGAAATCAAGAGTCAGATGCTTAACCAGCTGAGCCAACCAGCACCCCTAGAATATGATTTCTAATCTAGGTCTATCTGAGTCCAAAGCCACAAAATTATATAATACCTTTCTAGGGGCCATGTTTCCTACACTACCCTAAGATACCCCAACGTATTGTCACCAACCTGCAGAGGCGCTGTGTGGTTGTTTAAATATTCAAGGAACATATAGCAGTATTTGACATCTTTTGGTTGCCAGGTAAACTTACTAGTTTCATATAGTTCCTGATTTGAACATTAGATCGTGCTACATTCCTTTGGATGATGTGTCTTTGTGAAGTTGGGTTTTTGGGGGTTGCTGTGACAAATGCAAATACTGCATGAAAATCAGTGAGAAATAGGAAATAAGAATAGCAGTGTCCAATTTGATTCCAAGTTTGAGAAGTTGTGCATTGCCTCACTGTAATATGCATTCTGTAAGTAAGTGTGATTATTTAAGAATGAAGTGAAAACATTATTTTTTTTTCAGCTAAGGTAGATTAGTTTTTCAAATCTCTACTAACAGCTTGATAAGTGGAACTATTAGTATTTCTTGGCCTAGTGCTGTTGTGAAAAAATTACTGAAATGCTGAGGGTGTTAGGAACTTAGAAAGCTTGGGAACTTGTGCTTTGAGATTATCATTGGTTTTTGTTGCCGGAAAGAAAGGAGTACTGTGTCCGTTTTGACTTTATTTTGCAGGGAGGAAAACCAAGGTGCAGAGATTGATTTCAAGTGTATGTAGCTAACCATTGGTGCTATTCAGACCATTCTTTTCAGAGT